CTGCATATGGATATCCAGTTCTCCCAGCACCATTTGCTAAAGAGGCAGTCCCTACCCCAGTGTATAGGCTTGGTGTCTTAGTCAAAGATCAGCTGGCTGTAGGTGTGTGGATTGATTTCTGGATTCTCTATTCTAATCCATTGATCAGTGTGTCTGTTTTTATGCCAGTAGCATACTGTTTTGGTTATTATAGCTTTGTGGGCTTCTCTGTGGAGCCACCTCTCTGGTCAGCTTGGACTCTGCCGGGCTGCTGGATCACGGAGCGGTACCGCAGGGTGTGTGGTCTCTGCCAAGCTTCCACCTCCCGTGCTGGACTTCTCCCTGTTCCGTGCGCTCTGGCCCAGGCTGCTGGGATGCGCCGAGGTACCGTAGAGCGTGTGGTCTCTGCAGAGCTTCCCTTTCCCCTGCAGGATGTCTCCCTGCTCTGTGCATGCTAGGCCGGGCTTGAGATGGAGCCTCGTGGCGGCGGTGAAGCCTACCTGCTGCTGGATTGTGTGGCGGCAGCTCCCTCACAGGGTGTGTGGACTCTACAGAGCTTCTTTCTCCCTTGTTTGACGTCTCTGTGCTCCGTACACATTGGGCTGGGCTGCTGGATCGCGCGGCAGCAGTGTGGTCCCCGTGGAGTTCCCGCCTCCCCTGCCGGACGTCTCACTTCTCCGAGCCCACTAGGCCAGGCTGGGAATGAAGCCGGGTGCCTGCGGTGAAGCCTACCTGCTGCATCATGCAGTGGTGGTCTCAGGGTGTGTGGTTTCTGTGGAGCCTCTGCCTCTCCTGCTGGACATCTCCCCACTCTGTGCGCGCTGGGCTGGGCTGGGAATGGAGCCGGGTGGCGGCGGTGAAGCCTATCTGCTGGATCATGCGACAGCGGCCCTGCAGGGCATGTGGTCTACATGGAGCTTTTGCCTCCCCCGCTGGACGTCTCCCCATTCTGTATGCACTTGATGTTATGTTTTTATAGTTTAAATCGATTTGTGGGAGAGAGTGACGCTAGGGACCATCTATTCCGACATCTTGACTAGAAGTCTAATTTTCTAACTTTTTTAGTGGCTTTCCTTAGAGTTTACAATATACATTTACAACTAATCCAAGTTTACTTTCGAATAAAACTATACTGCTTCATGAATAGTAGGAATACCTTATAATAACAAAATAATCCTAATTTCTCCCTCCCAGCCCTTGTATCATTGCTGTCATTCATTTTACTTATATATAAGAATACACATGATATATATCCATAGTATGCATAATTGACCACATTATTGCTATTATTATTTTGAAGAAATTGTTATGTTAGATCAATTAATAAGAAAAATAAAAGTTTTTTTTTTTTTTTTTTTTTAAAGATGACCGGTAAGGAGATCCTAACCCTTGACTTGGTGTTGTCAGCACCACGCTCACCCAGTGAGCAAACCCGCCATCCCTATATGGGATCTGAACCCGTGGCTCTGGTGCTATCAGCACCGCACTCTCCCGAGTGAGCCACAGGCCGGCCTGAAAAATAAAAGTTTTAATTTTACCTTCAGTTATTCATTCTTCAGTGTTCTTCCTTTCTTTATGTAGATCTGAATGTCTGACCTATATAATTCTCCTTCTCTCTAAAGAACTTCTTTTAACATTTCTTTCAATGAATGCCTACTGGTAACAAATTCCCTCAATTTTTGTTTACCTGAGAAAATTTTTATGTCGTCTCCTCCCTTCTTCCTGCTGCAGGGCCTTGTGCACGCTGCTGTCTGCCTAGAGTACTTTTTCCTGTCCCCTCTGCTTCACTAGCTCTCGCTCATCTTTAAGCAGTAGCCCCCTGCCATTTTTGTCTGCCCCCCACTTACTACCCATAAGAACTTACAGCTCAGCTCCAGACTTAACCAAGCAGCATCACAATCCCTGACCACAGCAGTCAGGGACCAGTATGTGACCCAAATCAAGTCAGTGAGAGCCAATTCTGGAGTCTTAGGGAAGTGCTGGAAAAGAGCAGCACACTTCTTGTCTGGAGATGCAGAGGTGCCCCTGGAGCTGCTGGCCATGTCCTCCCACCATGAAGGGAGAGCCTGTCTACAAATGGAGCCCACACAGGAGCCCTAGCAAGAGTTGAGGTGTGATGACTGAGTCCAAGGATCAGCTAGGCCTGAAGCCAGCTAAATGGACTTTCAGCTAAATGATCCGAAACTTTTTGTACTTAAGCTAACTGGAGTGTTCTTATTTCAAACTTTAAGAGCCCTGGCTGATCTACTTCAGGTCTCAGATTAAATGTCATTTTATCAAAGACTTTACCTATCTTCTCAGTCTCAAAGATATCCTCTTAGTACTTTCTCAGCACCCTGTTCTCCTACATAGTACTTAGTTATACTTAGTAAAATTTGTAATTAAATATTTTTTGGGAGTACATATATTTAATGTCCATCTCCCCCACTGGGCCACAAGCTCACTGAGGGCAAGAGCCTTGTTTGCTTGCTTTGTTCAGTACCCTGGTACCTAGCAACTTAATGTATTTATTGAGTGAATTAGTGGTAACATCGACCAATAAGATTTTACTATGCCAAGCACAGTTCTAAATGCTTTACATTCATTAACCTATTTAGTTCTTAGACTAAATTTTAAGGTAGGTACCTTATTTTTCAGATGAGTTAATTGAGGCTTCAATGATTGACTTTCCTCTCCCATGTCCCATTTCCCACCCCAAGTTTTGTTGGTTGCCAAGCCCTGATGGTTTCTGACATCTCTGGGATGTTCCCTCCCCTCTACTATCTGCCACTACCCTGATTCTTACCTAGATTATTCCACTAGCTTCTGACAGTCCTACCTTTTCATCTTGAACTCCTGCCAAAGTCAGTGTGTAAAGTGCTCCGTTGATTTTGAGTTCAGTCATTTCCTCTTTTGCTCGTGCTGTTTATCTGAGATATAAACCCCACTCCTTTTAGGAGCTGGACAAGCTCAAATGCCATCTCCAGAAAACCTTTCGTTACCACACGGACAGTATTTTCTTCAGCAATTCTCTCTCCTGACACTTTTCTGTCCACCTTTTATCATCAGTATTTGCACCTTTTTTCCTCCTCACTTTCTGAAGCAGGATCTATACCTGTCAGACTGATCTTTGTATCACCAGCCCATAGCTCCTGGTTCATAAGACAGACACTCATTTAATATATTTTATTCCTGAAGTACTGGAAAGTGAGGGGAGTTAAAGTAATATGTAATACTGCAAATTTACTGCCAGTTTCTAATTACTATCTTTAGGATTTACAGATTGTGAACATCCTTCAGAAGGTTCACCTCACCCATAATTTAAATTGCTCTCATTTTATCAACTCTTGTTTTTGAAGTTTTCTTTGGAGTTGGTTGTAACAGGGCTGGCATGCTAGCCGGGGTAGAACAGGAAATTCTGAACAGCCAAAGGCACAAAGTGAAAGAGCTAGAAATGCCTTTTTCTTCCCCTTCCTTTCAAAATAGCTGACACTGGGGCTGGCTGGTTGGCTCAGTTGGTTAGAGTACAGTGATGTAACACCAAGGTCAAGTGTTCAGATCCCCATACCAGCAAGCCACCAAAAAATCAAAATCAGTGACATTTATTAAAAATTCACCATCTACCAGACTCTCTTCTAAGCACCCTTTCATTGACTCCTCCCAACGGTTTTATGAGATAGAAATGTCATTAAAATACCAACATTCCCAGGCTAAGGATTTTTGCTCAAGTTACTTTATAGTATAGCATTCAATATTAAAATTGACTTTAGGCTTAAGCTTATTTCCCCTCGTAGGGCTTTCTTATGGGGAAAGAAAAAAATCCATTAATCCTTTCTAACAGAATAAACATACTTCCCTCAAACTTGTTCCATTGCAGACTCCAGGAAATTGCAGCTATTAGCAAGAGCAACCTGTATCTAAGCAATAAAAGACAAATCAGAACAGGTGCACCTCATCTGTCTGCTCTTATCACATTCAAACTGGGCGCCATGACCATATCATTTCTTTTAAAGACAGGTGTTTTGGGTTTATATAACTAACTAAAGCAGGTCTACTCACTCTACATGACTGTATCTTAGCAGAAATTTATAATTGCAGGGGATAGCTTCACTCCAAGAGCAGTGTCAGTGTAGTGTGGGTGGGAGCCAGACTGCAATGAATTGAGGATAAAAGAAACTATGAAAGAGCACTATTTTCAGAAATGTACATTTCAGCTAATCCTCTTGTTGGCTCCCTAGGTCCATATACCCAACTTTTGAGCTATTTAAAGTAGGCCTCAGTCTGGGCTGACTTTTTAACTAACCTAGGCCTTGATCTCATCTGTAAATGGAAAACCATACAGTAATTGTATATTGGTTGTGAATGTTAAATGAGATAATAATAAAGTTGCTCCTCAGCACAGTATTTGGCCCAACTAAGCACTTAAAGCATAATTATAAGCTTGGTTTTAGAGTGTTGCCTTCTCAGTTTCACAAAAGCCAAGTTTGGAATTTGTGTTTGATCAAACAGAAGAAGGTAGACCAAGTTTAGCTTTTTATTTCAGAGCAACAGTGTAAATGTAAATGTTAAAGAATTTTAAACCTAGCCTAACGGTTTAATGCTTTCTTCAAACAGAAGAAGGTAGACCAAGTTTAGCTTTTTATTTCAGAACAACAGTGTAAATGTAAATGTTAAAGAATTTTAAACCTAGCCTAACGGTTTAATGCTTTCTTCCTCCCTTCATACCTGCCCCTCACAATAGTGTGCACATGCACATGCACGCACACATACACACACGCACACACACACACAAGCACACAACTGATGTCTGAAACACTATCTTAGTTGTTGATTAGAGTATGGGTCTAACAGTCCCAGGTTTTGTACACTGAGGAAGCTGAAAAGACATTATATGCAATGCCACATACTATAACTTACATATACCAAAAGGGAAATTTCAACTCCAAAATACCTATGAGCAAGTGAGGCAGAGCAGATACTAAGAGCACTGAGCAAGATGCTATCATGATTACCATTTATTTCTATGTTATATTTAAGGAAACAGCTCAGTTACTACTCGAAGCCATATATTACCAAAGCCAGAGGTAAACAAGGCCTAAGTACAAGTCTTAGCATTATATTCAACAATAAATTCACTAGGTATTAACTGTACTTTTTAGTGGAAGACTGAAATCTTTACAGGAAAAATTCCATGTTGGAACTAAGGGTGGAATTTGGCAAACCAGTCAAATCACTTTATTTTGAACTAGAGAATAACTTGGAATTATTGGAGAGCTCTTGTAAGAGTTTACATCATATGAAAAACTGGCTTACACACGTCCTTTAACTCCCACCCTCTTCATCTGCATAGTAAATAGTTTTTTCCCCCACAGATAGGAAGGTAATTGTGGCTATTCTCCAAGAAATTAGTTTTAAATTAAGTTTATGGCCTATAGAACTAAAGTCTCTCTAAGGTTTTGAGGTGAACCACAGTGTAGCAGAGGCACCAGGATCCAGGTTCCAGCCTGGTCCCTGCCACCGTTGACTGACTTTGCAACAGTGACACCAATTCCACAGAGTCATTAGATTTTAAATGGCTGCTTTTGTATGTACAAAATAAAACTAGTGAAACTTTACTTTGAGAATCACTACTAGTACATATTATTTTTCATTCTAGGATATATTTTTAATTTTATATTGAATAGACTAAAATAATCAGGCTTGCTACACAATGCCATATTGTTTACAAACATCAAAATAAGAATACAATAGAGCCATGGAAGATAGGGTTCCATTTTTTACTAAACTCTACTTTATGGCTAATAACTAGTACTTATTGTTTCTGTCAGGCGCTATTCCAAGCCCTTTACAAACATCTGATCTTCACAGTCCTAAGGGCTATTATCTCCATTTTTACAAGGGAAAAAATCCAAAAAATCGACTCAAGTAACTTGTCCAAGGTTGCAGAGCTACTGGTACAATCAGGATTTAAATGTTTTGCCCTGTTCGTCTTAATCACTAGGCTGTACTGCCTCTCAAATCAGATACACACCAGCCCCCAGCACATAACAGGATGTGTGATTGTCTGCTCCTTAATCAACCTGACCTCATCCCTGGTTCTTCTCCCTTGGCTTAAGATTCCTCTTTCATCCCTCCCTACATTTTCAGATCTTCCAGGTAGACCTTTCCACCCTTACCCTAAGTTCTAACCCTTGTTTCCTCTGTACTGGTTCCTGCTTTCAAAATACCCTATTCTCCCCACTTTTAAAGCATAAAAAACCCTCACGGCACCTGTTCTCCTTTTCTCTAACCTTTTGTCATTGTACCCTGATCAAGGCAAGCCAGTCCCTTCCAACGCTGACAGCTTCTTCGACTTGCATTGGCTCATACTACTCCAAGATGCCATACTACCTCATTCATTCTAACTGCATACAATAGTCTAAACCACAAGCTCCTGCTGAATTTCACACAATTCCATGGCTTTCTTGTGCCCTTTTGGGACTTAAACATACCTTCCTCCACTATTTAATATAAACCCCAAAGAGGATCAGACCCTGTTCCCATGCCTCCATTAACTTTGACACCCAGGCTGATTGCACACATATATTTAACAAAACAGTTTTACACAAAATGCTAAGAGCACTTTATATTTTACAGAAGAGCTTGACATACTGTCTATATTCATACAACAGCACATCCAAATCTAACTCCTAAATAGATGCATTACAATTTGTTTAAAATTTAAAGGCTTACTGGCAATAATCAGAGGATGAAAAAGAGTACGTGAGTTTATTTTACACAACTGATGGAAAAATAAATTCAAGAAACAGTAAATAGAATTTAATATGGCCTCATGCGCCCTGAAGGAGGGTTTAAAATTTAAAGGCTTACTGGCAATAATCAGAGGATGAAAAAGAGTACGTGAGTTTATTTTACACAACTGACGGAAAAATAAATTCAAGAAACAGTAAATAGAATTTAATATGGCCTCATGCGCCCTGAAGGAGGTGGTGCCCGATTTGGAGGGGTAATTGCTATGTCCAAATAATCTCCTATTTGGAACTTCTGCGACTGTAGCGTCATGGAATCATCAGTCCCCTTTCTCCCAGACATGGTGCTGCCAATCTCCTTAACTCTGCAGGAAAAGAAATCAACTGTTAATGGACCACAAATCAACAAAACCTAATTATGTACTACAAAGTGAATATGAGACTAGATTTGTTCCCTCATAACACAGTTCAATACATTTAAGTACTATATTAAGGTAAACCAGATATTAATATAAATCCATATTCCCCCACTAAAATTCATTGAAGGGATTACCATTATCAGTTAAAACATACCAAAAACAGATTACAGGAATTAACAATGAGAAGCTACCTACCGATAGCCAGGTCTTTTAAGATCCGTAAAAACAATTGCAAAATTGAAGTGTGTGCCCTTCTTTCTGGCTTCTGGGTAGACTTCTTTTACTAAACTAGTCAGTTCTTTCAAGGTTGCATCCATCCTGAATTTTTTTAAAAAAAGACATTTACATTTGATTAATCAGCAATAATATAACAAGGATACTGACAATGAGTTAATTACATGTATCTGTCCTGTAATTTAGGCTAAAAATGCTGGGTATTATACTAGAGTTTAATTTTTTAAAGCAGCTAAAAATACTATCTGCCTCCAAAAACTCCCTACAAGCCACACTATTGGAAATTTCGATGAATTAAAGTCAGACTCTGAGTGCAAAAAAGGACATCAGATTCCATATACTGGGCCGGCCCGGTGGCGCACTGCTACAGTGCACCGCTTGGGAGTGCGGCGGCACTCCCG